ACCCAATCTATTGACTCCTGATCCAGAAAGTTTTTTTTTCCTCATCTCAATGTTTGATGTAACAATATTTAGGCATGACAATTGTAGGGCGTCTTGGGGCATATTCCTCTGTGAAAATGTTGAAATCTTGTCTCCCTAAAACACATAGTATTTCCTTATTTTGAGGGGGAAATTTTGCTGGTAGAACATTAAGCTCAGTTAATGACATCTCATATCTTCAGTAGTCACCAATTTTTGTCAGTCAAAAAGATGATGGATTGGGCAAACGTTTTGTCAATCACAAGCAGCAAGTAAAGTTTCGTGGAATGATAAAAAGAGGGGCACTGGCCAGAATACAGTGTATATATTGAAAGTTTATTGCAAATACTTGCCCGAGGGCTAATTGCAGTTACAAACAACATAAGAAAGAAAATACAGTGGTATGTGAGACTATATCTACGTCTAGCATTATAGTTATATTCTACAACATACATGGGTCTAGTTTTACTGGGTTTGACTTCTTCTTTATATACTAAGTTGCCCCTTCAGTGAACTGTAACATGTTCTGGGCCTGTTTCTTTCTGTGATCCAGTCCAGACTGGTCGGTCTGCTGGTGTTGACAGACAGAGAAAGATTAGACAAGAGGACAGAGATAAAATTAAGGGTCTCCTTTCTATTTTAGACCTGCAGTATTTGGAGTGAGCTGGGAGTTTTCTGGCAATGTTGACATCATCTTTGTACAAACACCAGTTGGCTTCACTTTGATACAGTGCAGATATCAAACAATGAAATTTGTTGATCAAGAATGACCTATATAGTATAAAATATTTGGTTGTTTTCTATTTTAGACCCGCAGTACATGTATTTCCAGTGAGCTGGGTGTTTTCTTTAGCACCTGTGGTGTTTGTTACACTTACTTGATTAAGGCTGGAGACTGTTGACAGCTAGGAGAGATAAAAGTTAAGGGCTGGGAGTGAGATGTCACAAGGGGCACCAGAGTTGGAGGTTAGATGTTGAATTTATTTGGTTTTAGGCTTTCTGTACACTGAGTGTGAGCTAACTTTAAAGAAAAAAATAATTTTTTTGAGCAATTGTTCTGGGTTTTGGAAGGCAGGTGGTTCATGATTTTGATGTGGGTACAGTCTACCTTAGCCTTCTTGAGTTACAAAATGTACATGATTGCTACTGAAAACATAACCCTCTTAGCAAAGAATCGCTACATATCCAGGTACATGAAGTTGTGTGTGTGTGTTGACCCAACTTACTTTACTTTCTTTCCCTTATCGTCTGCCTTCAAAGGATGTGTGGCTGAAAGACACACAAAATGATCTAAAACAACAAATTTGCTGGTGATTAAGAGTCAATAGACAGGCTCCATGTTTTCAAAAAAACCCCAAGGCTGTCCATTAGGGTTAGGTTAAGCCAACAGCTTACTTCTAGGATGAAAAGTTTAAGGTGGTAACAAGGTATGCCTGAGCAGAGCACTTCTGCATGGGGGTGACTTATTTACTACTTAATAGTGTTACAGTTAATCTCCAATTAAGCAGATCCCTCTCGGTGGCAAAAAGACAGTATCAAATTGGCCAGACAGTATCCATTAGCCAGAGAAGCTCCATTAGCCACCGACGGGTGGGGATCAGGACAAAAAAAACGGCCATATATAAAAAGATAACGATCATTCCCCACAACCTCTGCTTGGAGAGTATGTTACAGTATGCATAGTTTGATTTTCTTTATTCAATTGAAGTTCACGTATGATGTTACAAGATGATAATTTATGAAGATTTGAAAGATATTGAAAATTTTATAACGTCATGATGATGTAATAAACAATGGACCAATTGTTTTACAAAAGTGGTTTCCCCATCCCTAACGATCCAAATGAATGTACAATGATAAATATTTTGATGAATGTATTATTGTACTGACTACAGCACAGATAGGCCTGTTGTCTGTGCTGGTTTTGAACTAGAGGTAGAATCTGACAAAAATGTCAGAAAGTTTCAATTTTCGTCTGTCAAAGGGGACGGAATGGTTAAAATGTTTGTCCATCCAGACTTTGTAGAAAAAATGCCATCCAAGAATATGGAAGGGCACTTACTTATAAAGAGCTTTAAACCAACATGTATATGTCAAGACATTTATCCCCAGGCTTAATTAGCAACTGACAGATGGCTCGTTAATTTAGTTCTTAATTAGCCATTAGATCTATTTGTGGCATTGAGGACTTTTAATTATTCAACAGATAACAGAACTGTGGTACATAATTAAAACATCACAAGTCACACGACATTTGGAGTTTTAATTTTTTCGTGAGTCTTTTGGATTTGTTGTCGTAAGAATGAACTAATGATTTAACCAGGAAGCCAGATCAAACTCTCCCAGGAATCAGAAGCTTTTATTTGACTCAGGATCAGTCTTTGATCTAAGTTTGTCTGGAGTTTTCATTTGTGTTTGATGTTTAGTGAGTTTCACACGTGTGAAAATATTAGGGTTCCGGGCAGACAAAATAGAAAACATCCTTTATTGTGTTTCACAACATTGTTGGTGCTACAAGTGCTGATGCCAAGTCAGAGAGTGTTGGAATTTTTGCCTCTGAGAAAATGTCAAAAACTTGTTTTGACATTTTAACATTTTAAGTTTAAACAACTGAGAAGAAAAGCTTTTCTTGGTAATAAAAATAGTTGTAAGTTCAGTGATTTTGGCAGGATCTTAACTTCTTATTAGGATTGGGAAAAGGAGTTTTTTCCATATTTTAACACTTTAATGATTGTACACACAGATTCCAAGTAATTCAGCAGTAGACAAAATTACAGGTGAGAAACAAAAGAACCAGTTGGGCAGGTTTTTGTAGGGTAATTCAGTGACTTCTGAAATTTCCTACCATCGCAAACTACCAATAGAGTTTTGCACTCACTCACTGGTGTGAAAGAATTTTGGTGACTGTACAAATTCGTGGAAACTTACTTATTAGTGTTCAAGTACAGGAAGGAGTTCAGCTGCGTAGTATGTACAAAACAGAGGGTCAGTGACATACATACGGGACTCTGGGTTGCACAACCAGTTTGGGTATGGCACGGGTGCCTTGAGGGGTGTTCGCATGCCCGCCAGATCGTTGCTTATGTGAAGGTACGGTAGATTTGTTTATTTGTGCAGGGACTTATTTTTTTCGCAGTAGAAGGAGTACATGTAAGGCTTTCACAGTATATTATAAGTTTATATTGCATGTGTGTACTACAAGGGAAATACTGTTTTGCAGTGTTGTGTCTTGAATTGGTGTAGTTTAGAGGTTACTGTGAAAATAAGACCCCTGCAAAGATTTCAAGACTTACAGTAAGAACAGCACAGCCCAGTCAGAAAGACGTATGGCAACAGGAAGAATGGTTCAGTGCTTGTTGCGTCGTAAAACTAGTGTCCACAGGTGTGTAAGTCGTGACTTGAATTTGTTGAAAGTCTTAAGAAGTGAAGGAACTGTTTGAGTGAGAGTTCAAGACAACAAGTTGTCTGCTGTTCCTTGTTGTAAGGTTTGTTGACTGTCCTTTGTTGTAATTTCTTACATTCAAATGTGTAATGATTGTACATGTGGTTGTATGGAGTCAGTACTGTGTGGCTGTTATATAATAGTGTTTGATACTTACGTGCTTATATGTGTGTGTACTATGCAGATACAAGTCTTAGAATATACGGTATGTAAGAGTACAGAACATGTACATGCCCTAATTTTCCCAGTTCTTCCTTGAATATAGTTTAATTCATGTGTTGAAGGTAAGTAGTTGTATTGGACAAGAATGCTGTTTTGGCATAGGTTTGTATGCTCATGAGTATTATACATAATCTACATATACATGTATAGTTGAAAGTTGAAACTTACAGTTAGAGGTTTGTTTCCCTCACTGTACTCAACATGGGGAATAACAACTTACAACGCATTGGTATGAGCATTGTAAAATTATGAGCATTGTAACTATTCTTATTGTATATTGTGCTTTTAAGCTACATATATAGCCCTTTATAATATATATATAGCCTCCAGATAAAATAGTTGGGCAGTGCTGGTCATATATCATTTTAGACAGCCCAATAAATCAAATTGAAACACTTGTTATATATATTCACTAATTTTGATACCGGACAATCCACTTAAAGTGTTCACTTCAGGTAGGTATAGTTATCTAGCATTGTAACTGTTCTTATGGTCCAGTCATGCACTTCATTTGATCCCAGGCATTTCACTTAAGTTAAAGTGGTCACTTCAAGTTAAGGTATCATGAGTTATGAGCATTGTAACTGTTCTTATTGTATATTGCCCAGTTAATTACTAGTGCTGGCCCTTTATAATAGCCTGACCAAATATGTAGTTGGGCATTCCTGACTGTATATCTTTTCATACATTCTAATAAATCAAATCAAAACACTTATGATAAAATGCACTTGATGTGACTCCAGACAATCCACTTAAAGTGGTCGCTTCAAGTTAAGGTATGGTTATGAGCATTGTAAGTTATTGTATATTGCCCAGTTACCAGTGCTAGCCCTTAATAATAGCCTGACCAAATATGTAGTTGGGCAGTCCTGACTGTATATCTTTTTATACAGCCCAATAAATCAAATCCAATTGATAAGTCCACTTGTCATGTGCACTTGATTTGATATCAGGCAATCCACTTAAAGTGGTCACTTCAGGTAGGTACATGTATATACAAAGTAATGAGCATTGTAACTATTCTTATTGTATATTGTCGAGTTGCCAGTGCTCAGCTATTTGTAATAGCCTCCAGATATGATTACAGCCAAATAAATCAAATCAAAACACTTGCACTTGATTTGGCACTGGACAATCCACTTGAAGTGGTGGCTTCAGGTAGGTACAAGAGGAGTGGAAGTTTCCTTGGCTGCAAACCAAGCATGACTGATTGACAGTTGAGTGCTATCTAGACTGTACTGTCTTGTGTGTTATTGACACTTTCCTACTAGTCCCAGTCTGACCAGTCTTTACTGACATGCTGTCACCTTTTTCGCAGGGCTCTTCAAGGCCTGACGCTTGCGAGGACGAAGACAAGGAGTGGTCAAGCCTTCTGAACGACAGAGAAGCAGTCAAAACTCATTCTGACCGGAAGAAGCTACCACAACCAATTCGAAAAACAACCAGAGCATTTGACAACAACGAGTGGTCAAGCCTTCTGACCGACAGAGAAGCAGTTAGAACAAGTTCTGACCAGAAGAAGCTAGCACAGCCAACTCAAAAAACAACCGGTCCTTTCCACTGGAAAGAAAACATACCCAGCAAAGTCTGGTTTCTGAGAGGCAAACGTAAAAGGCAGCAGGCCGGGGCAGTGCAATCGCAAACCAGTATTCCTCTTAGGCCTATACCAGACCTTACTACTGTAAGCATGGCTGGTAAACGGGTGAACTGGGAAGATGACATTTCAAACTCTCAAGAGACGTCAAATTCAGCAGAGACAATATCGATGGAAGATATGATCAGTGACCCAGGCCCTGCCGAGACCAGAGTTTCGACTCCTGGTAGCCCTCCACCCGGCTATGATACCTTACTGAGTGTTAACGGCCCTCGTGCTGTTGAAGATGAAGCTTCTATCGGTAGCAGCACTGATCGAATGTTTGCAGAGAGTGGCCTAACAGACGCACATCTTTGTAACGATGTTAAAGTAAGCGTAGAGGAGCCAGAAATGCGCTTAAGGCGCCGCGGCGCGCTGGACACTGAAGGACCAGATGGACAACCGCGAATGACGCTACTCGGAAAGCCGATTCCGCAGGTCACGCTCACACACAAGAACCGGCGGACGCTCTACATCAAGACGCAGATATTCAACTTTTTCGAGGTGCCGCAGAAGCAGTTGGGGAGCAAAGTGTACCTGGTGGTCATGTGAGTAATCACTACAGCTTAACGGCTTTAATTTCCAAACAAAGAACGATCTCATTAACTCTTCCAGACTTCCACTAACTTGACTACTATTTTACAAGGTTAATGAATCTTTAACCTTCTTGAGACATAGACTGAAGTGTTTCGGGAATATACTTAAAGAAGGGCTTAAAGTCCTTATATATTAAAACTACAGTTACTGTAGTGTCCCCCTCAATCTCATTCTTTGTACATCCACTTGCTCTAAGCTCTACATAATCTTCTTCTTAACTGGTTCACTGTCTCTATGGACACAAGTTTACTGTCCTTTTAAAGTGAAGCCTAACACTCATCCCACAGTAGACCTTGCTACTGAAAACCTAAGCTTGTAACAGTGGCCGACTTTTGACTGTTGTACTTTGACGCAAGTTTACATGTGCCTACTAGTTCTGATCACTGCACAATGGTAATGATGCCACATGTATGTAGTATCAGGTCGACTTGATTATACTGCTGTGTGGATCCCTAGGGGTAGGCAGCAGTCTGCTAGTCTTTACACCATGTTTCCAAGTGCCTCTGTCCAGCGGGTCCACACTGGCAAGGCCACACTCTCTAAGTCTAATGCCCCCCTTGACACAAAGATTCCTTGGTCTACCCCAGCCTCTGCTGCCTAAAGCAGCTGTTTGTAAGTTCTGTGAAACAGATAAACTCTCCCAATCTGATACTGGCCTGGAATAATATTGTTATCAAAGCCGTCCAGCTTTGCAATAACATACGAGATCGGCATGGAATTTCACAAATCTCTATCAAGACGAAAAGAATGTCTAAAAGTAGATCGAGGAGTGTATAAACATCTTGACAAACACTGTGGCACATACCAGTGGTGCTTACGACATTATACTTGCTGGGAGGAATCTTTATCAAAATCTTTATCCCTGGACTATTTTGGTCCACATTTTTAGTGTCTGTAATTCCTTATTTTTTCATGGTACTTTTATGTTCACTGTTTTCACTGGCGCTTCTGTACCATCAACTTATCATTACAGTTAATGTATAATTCCTGTACTTTCGTTTTCCTGCACCTGTCGCCACCGTGAATATGTAGTTCCGTGAACACATCCATTTTTCTCAGACCATGAACTTTTGCTACTGTGAACATTAAGTGAATTACAGTATTTTTCTGTAATCTAGTTATTATAGGCATCCTTCCATCTGGAAAGATATATTTGCTAAGTGACACATAAAAAGATATGATTTACAAAATGTAAGTCTTACTTAAAAATAGCTCTCAAGTAAGATTTTCAGCAACTGATGCTGAATTAGGGTAGTATGGGTTAGGGTTGATCCATACAAGTACTGCATCGAAAATGACCAGAAAATTGAGTTTAATCTGTTTGAAAATCTTGTTTTGCTGTCTCTTAATTGCTTTAAGTGCCTGTTGGAAAGGTACTTGTTTAAGATTTTATCTTCCATACATTCCTCAGACATGTCAGAAGTACTTGTCGTGATGACTTACAGCAAACAAAGACTTATTATTGTCTACCTGAGAGTACATGTGTCTGGGGTACTGGGGCACACCAGATCCTACAACACGACCAGAAAATTGAATTTTAAAAGTTTTACTGTCCTGAAATTGCTTTGGATGTCTTTAGAAAGGAGCCATAAGTTCTTGTCATATGAACAATGACTTGTCTACCTGCAGTGCATGTACCTGGGGCACTAGGCCACACACCTGCAAAATGACAAAAAAATTGAATGTTGATAACCCAGTTTTAGCCTGAAATTGCTGAAGAAGCAACAATTTTGTATCACACACATGCAGCTGAGAAGCACTTGTCATGAACGAACAATGACTTATTGTCTATGTTTTGTACCTGTGCATATACCTGGGACACTGGGACACACACCTGTGGATGTATGACAACAGGTACATTTCTCCCACCTGTCAACAAGGACTGGTATTTCCTCAAGCCATGTAAAACTCTGAAAACAAAACAAAAATGATTGATTACAACTGCAACAGTTTTTGGGACTGAATAACAAAAGTTCTTTATTCACGAATTCTTGTTTAACAAGAGTCGCATTTCCATCTGTCATCTTCATCAGAGCAATTATGACTGGTTCACTGACATTTGCACTGAAGAAAGGTGGTTCTTTAAACAACCACTCAAAGAAGTGGTTTTGAATAAAGAACTTCTATTCAATCATTCACCAACCTGAATGATGAATTTTAATTTATGGAGTTTTTGGGACCGCCAAAGTTTAAAGTTAGATCATAAGTGACAAGAAGTTAAAAGTTCTAACTTTACTTTTAAAGGGAATAACATTTACTCTTGACAGATCTAAATCGAGACTCTGATCAGGATTTCTATAGCATGGCCAATTCTACATGTAACATCTGTGTCCATAATATCACCATAGTCCATAATATCGCCACCTTGAGAAATAGTGTGCTTAAGGATATTTTTACTGCAACATACCCTAGGTATGTACATCTGAGGTGTGCAGGAGTGCATACCAAAAGTATGTTGCAGTAAAAATATCTTAAAGCACACTGTTTCTCAAGGTGGTGATGTTATGGGCCTCGGTGATATTATGGATACAGATGATACATAACAGATCTCTACCCTGACATTTGATTATAAGTTACATATGTTCATGCCACGTGTGACCAGCACCAAGTTTATTGATGTGTTATAATTCAGCCTCAGGACCTCAAGGATATACCCTTTGGGAAGAAGACCTCTAACCTTTCACACAGTCCTTTCCTTCATGCTGAAATGTCAAATAATTTGTATGATTGTCAACGGTTAATCGTTAGATGGGTTAGAAACAATTACCGTCACCTATACAGTAAAGATCATGAGTTAACCATGTGTTGGCATGCGTTGTATTCACTAGGGCCCCATTCCCATTAGGATGAAATTGTCTGGATCAAACTGAATTGATTCGCTTTGATCCGGCTTCAATCTGGTTTGATCTGGTTCAAACTGGCTGGAAGCAGACAGTTTTATCCTTATTTTTTTTTTATTTATTATTATATTTAATTAGTGGGAATAGGGCCTAAGATCCAAACTGGATATGTGTCTTTTGCCTTGTCTTTGTCTTCATTGCAAAACAACATATTATAAAAGGTCAGATGTTATGTAAAGTTCTAGGTCAATGACCTGCCCCTATTGTATTCACTGTGCATGTACATCATACTACATTGCACTTAGTAATACATGTAGTACAGTACTTGTATATCACTCACTTCAAGTGTCTGTTCTTCATAGACAGAGTTGCATCAAGCAACTCTACAGCAAAGTCATTGCGAAGAAAATTGGTCTTTTGTTACTATGACACAGGCTGATATTGACTGCACTTGGAAATATATTTTTTTAGGTAGTAAATTTAGGTTAAATTCTATTATATGCTAGTCTAGTACAACGTACATCTCATTTCATATCTTATGTTCTATCACACCTATGTACTAGTAGACTGTACTATCTTTAAGTTAGAAGTATGTGCTCAATCTATAGTATGTTCCAAGAACCCTGTATCATGTATATACAATGTATAACCCTATATAATACATGGATATACTAGTAATTGCTGGCTTTCTATAAAAGCGCTAACCAAATTCTCCTGCAGATTAGAATTCTATCTTTTCTATCTCTGTTCCAAACTAATCCACACACAACTTCCATATATGAAGGTCTGGGTAGTTTTCTGGGCCAAAGCGTTATGATTGGGCCCACTGTGCTGACAGTTGCAGAGATAAGAGCATTAGTGGTGACTGAGTGATAAGTATAGATAAAGTGGGCCTGTTTCCTGCACACTTGTGCCATGCTGAAAGCTTGTGACTGGGGTTTGAAACATGCTTGACATTCTCCAACTGGCTGTATAGCCAAGTGTTACACCTGCTACCTATGTATAACCCTTACACCAATACAAAATATATATTCAACTTCCATATGCATCACAGTACTTTCTGTCTATTGCTACAAAAGTTGTTAAGCCTGTACCAGGCTTCAGAAGTGGCTGGTAACAGCTGAAGGAGTTACATTAGTATTACAGAAAGTGGGGCTGTTTCCTCTGCACTTGTGCCATGCTGAAAGCTTGTGGCTGGGGTTTGAAACATGTTTGACATTCTCCAACTGGGGCTGCCATGTGTGTACACCTGCCCCCTTTCCTCAGCACAACATACAATTTCATGTACATGTACATGCACCACTCTATCACAGTAACTGTTGTAACTTTCTATTGTAAGAAAAAACTCAAACTTTCAAAGTACATGTACCTGATTACAACACGCTACACACACCAACATCATTATTATTGTCATGAATACATTATAGTTACTAATACTGCATAATTCTAGTCAAAGTGAATAAAAATTTGCTTTGTTTACGTCTGAAGTTTAACTTAACGTTTTGCACTATGTTTCAGTTTCCTGCTAGTGTTCCTGTGTCTTGTACTGAGTGTTTTTTGTACCATCGAAGACTACGAAGAAACATCCAACCATGTGCTTTTTATCATGGTGAGTACTTCAAGGATCTTACTTGGAATTGTTGTGTGGCATTAAACTTTGAAGATTGCTGAAACAATCATTATATTTATGGCACAAGTAGGGTGCGCAATATGGCAATGTGCATGTGTGTGATGATCATGATGCACAAATACTAGTATACAAGTACATGTAGTGTCATTTTGGTACAGTATATGGTATTGGTGCACATGTGTTTGGTGAATACATGCTTAGCTATGCATATGTCTCAAATTGCGCTGACGTGGCAAAATGTGGCGATGCATTAGGATGACTGACATACAGACAGACTTCTATGGCTAATATCAAGTTCAGTAGCGGTATGCATGGAATGATATATCCAGTTGTGCCATTGATAATGATATTTACATGGTACAAGCGACAAGATGTGCATATGTTCTTTAAGCTATTAGTAATTTTGTTTGTATGTGCCTGCCTGTGTTACAACTGTACATGACGTTGTGAATTAAGGGGCATGTTTACCATTTCATTGAACTGCACTGCAATTTTCCCAGCATACTGGATAGCGTTTTGGATACTGCCCGGCGAATTTGATACTGCATCATAGCCACCAAATGATCTGCTTGAAGATGATGATTTTCTTGGAATTGGTCCATTTGTATAATGTGTTGTTATGAGTGAGTACATTGTAGTACTAGCTAGCTAGTGATCTCACTTCCTACTGTGGTTGTGTTTGTAACAGGTGCATGGATCACCCCCCATGTGTAAATGTACAGTAGTAAGCATGCATGTCGGCAGAACGTACTGCGCCTGCGCAAAACCCTGATTTTTCACAGTTTTCGTTGGATTTTTGCATGAGAATTTTACCTGTTGCAGACAATATCTTTTCCAAAACAACATTTGAAAAGTACAGACGGGATGTTAACCTCATTTACATGAATACAACCTTATATGAGACGTTCTGCCGAAGTGCTATGCATAATACATTCGCGCAGGTACAGCACATTCTGCCGACATGCTAGTACTGTAGTATACGTAGTTACTCACACAGTCCAATGTTTATATGCTGTGTCACTAGTGCGAAAATGACACCAATGGAACTAGTGACAATCTCCCAAACAACTGTACAAAATCAGAGGAACAGGACAAATTACCCAATCAGGCGCTCTATGTCATGGTAAGTATTCTGCGTGGTTGTCTCGTGCCATGTGATTGGTTGGCTTTCTAGTCTCGTGCCATGTGATTGGCAAGCTGTCTCGTGCTATGTGATTGGTTGGCTTTCTTGTCTCGTGTGGTGCGATTGGTTGGCTGCTCTTGTGACGTGTGATGAGCTCTGAATGCACAAAAGCTTCAATCCCATGTTGCATAGCAGTTACCCATAATGCACAGCAGCTGCAAGCGATGCACAGTGATGTGGCCTGATGTTGTAGTTAGGCTTTAGGACAGAAGATGGTTTGGGGCCACCAATATGCGTAGAACTTTTACACTAGTAAGCTGTTTATGTATCTCGTGGTGAATTAATTTTCGCAGTGATCCATGTCACTCTTCACCAGTGTTCTAAGCCAGTCTGAAATTTTTTCTGTCATCTGAAATTTGTTTGACGACTAACATCATGTCAAGGGCCAATTTAAGGCACATCAATCCTAGAGGGAACCATTGTATGCCCCCTTGGAAAATTTTGAAATTTTTCCTGGTTTTAATGTCATCTTTCCACATCAAAGATTATGTATTGGGCAAAATTTTTGTTCCTCAAACTTCCACCAAATGATGGAAAGGCGGATACTGGCTAGGCTAGAACACTGGGTGTACATGTCATACATTTATGTTCAACTGGAGTCAGCCGTGTACAAATAGACCAGACAAACCATTAATTTGAGCTGATGCCATCCTTGTTTGCAAGCTCCAGATAGTACAGACCCATATGCGGCATGGAAAGCAAGAGTGTGCATGTAACATTACTACTATGTCGTATTACTCATATGGCCCAATACCACTTTGATGTTACAGAGCCAAATTTGAGTGGTCCTAGTCTGTTTAGCTCAGTGCATGACTCTACTTGTGGGTGTTGTCATTGTCTGTAATGCCACCTATCTGGTCTGCATGAATTGCACAAGTCTTGTGGAACAGTCTGCTGATTTCCATTTAAACAGTTTACGGCATTATTAGCAAACTTTTTTGGTATATAAATTTTAAATATACATTTGTAAGACTAATAGACAATCTTCATAGTTTCAGTGCCAAAGGACAGTCTTATTACTATATAGCTTAAAAGTTTTAAGTCTGCTTGCCAATGAGACTATTAGTACAAAACAACTTTTTATTTTAATTGAGAAAATTCATTTTTGTAAGCTTTTTAAGTAGTTTTCACTTCTAGAGTTATTGAAACATTGCATGGGGACACTCATGTCAGTAGAAACTGACGTATTATAGATCTCACAGATAGAAACTTCCATTTTCTCACTTGATATTTAATTATAAGCTTTGAAATGATTTCTTCTAACATTTTCCTGAAGGTCTGTACCCCTGGCCGTGTCAATCGGATTGTGGTAATTTCTGTAAGTTGTTGTTGCACTCTGGCTGCTCTTCCAGCCAAACCTGTACAGTACACTGCAAATGAACCAGAGAACTGTGAGGCACTGTTGGGAAACAGTGTTGGATTTTTTCTCGGATGAAAACTATGGATGAATCAACCTACCCTGGAAGCCAGACTAGTATTGGGCCATTAGCCATTTTCCTTCGGCAGCCAAGAGGCCTTCGCCCGCCGGTCTAAATTACCGCTACAGGTAGTTGAGCCCGAGGGGGTTTGGCTGGCCCTGGGCTCAACTCCCCTAGTGGTAATTTCGTAGCCCCCACCAGGCGTTTCTACGGGAATACGGATCATAGAATTTGGCAAAAAAGAGAATAAAATGGGCCAGGGGAGTCCGGCGGCGGGGAGGTAGTTTCTTTCCCTCCGAACTGCGCGGCCAGTCAAACCTACAAGGCGGCCAAACTCCCCCGGCAAATATCAATCTCCTATATATAGCCAGCGTAGTCAGCCTGGTAGAGACTAGTAATTTAGATAGGCGGGAGAAGGGCTTCTGGCTGCCGAAGGAAATAGACTAACGGCCCAATACTAGTCTGGCTCGCAGGGTAAAATAAACCACTTGTACTGCTATGATGACACCCAAAGCATGAAGTTTGTTTATAATTACTGTCACCTATCCTTTCATCTGCATGACACGATTGTCCCCAATGTTCCCCCCAACTTTTGATAGTTAGAGTCTTAGTGCTCTAGAGTGTGGCACACTGGGTATATAGAAAAGGCGAAAACAAATGAAAACAAGTGAAAATGAGCAAAATCAAGCAAAAAGAAGCATACAGGAGTGAAATAAGGCAATACAATGTAAAACCAACATAGATCACTGATGCTTGATATTTCACTTGTTTTTGCTCATTTTCACTTGTTTCATTCCTTTTCGCAAGTTCTGTACACCGTGGAAAAATTTATGTATTTAGGATAAACCTATAATGAATGCATCCTATCCTGTTGCTACGCCATCCCATTCTGGCAACAGTTTTGTCTTCCTCTGATCCCTTCCTTCCTGAATTTTCGTAGCAACATTTATTTCAAAAATGAAAAAGACTTTTTTCTCAGTGCTTGGCATGTCAACTTGGTACACCTGATTTCTTGGAGATGCAACATGCAATCTGCATGAGATGCAGTACTAGGAACCTCTACACCTACGCGTGTATATAGTTCTTTTACACAACCAAACTTGTCTCGCCTTGCTTAAGTTTCGGTGTCTATCACACACTTTCCTCAGAGCTTCTGAGTTCTGCTTATTACCACTATATGTAGCCGAATTGTACATTTATGTCGCACTTTTGCATTTGGGAGAACACAATCCCAAATGTATAGCGGCGAGAAGCAGAATTCCAGTCAGAAGCTCTGAGGAAGGTGTCTAGATCTGACAGACACCAAAACGTAAGCAGGGTAAGACAAGTTTGGTTGTGTCAAAGAAAACTACTATATCCAGTTCTTACATCATAGCTCTGACTGTAAGTTCTGAATGTGTTGAATGTATGTTTCAGGAAATCATCATAGTGATTGTGTTTGGGATGGAGTACATACTGCGGATGTGGGCAGCCGGGTGCCGCAGTCGGTACCAGACCTGGCGCGGACGGTTACGCTTTGCAAGGAGACCGTTTGTAATTATAGGTGAGTTTCCGTTCTAAACCTGTTGCAACTTTTAAAAGTTAAATTTGTAAAGATTTATTATTTGATTAATGAAATTTGGGTAATAAAAGGTGTTACATAACCATTTGTGATTATAATTTATCGGTCAGTTTTCATTCTACAACTGTTCCAAGTTTGAAAAGATAAATTTGACAAACATGGATAGCCAACCCATACATAGACAAACATGCCTGTCCTTGGTGCTGAACACCATCCTCACACAGGCAAACATGCCTGTCCTTGGTGCTGAACACCATCCACACACAGACAACATGGCCTGTCCTTGGTGCTGAACACCATCCACACACACACACATGGCCTGTCCTTGGTGCTGAACACCATCCGCACATAGACAAACATGCCTGTCCTTAGTGCTGAACACAACCCACAGTTTAAACTTTTTTCATAGAAACAATAATATTGGCTACAATAATGCTCATAATGACTTCTACCAATACAGGCAAAACCGGTCGTGTGACAGGCTGAATAAAAGTTCTAAACAGGAACTATGCGGTCCAGATGTCTTACTGAGGGACAACTGTGTGTGCAAGATGTCAGTTAGCTGAGGAATGAATCCCCTCTACTATATATAGCTATTTCTAGTGTTTTGTGTTACATGTACATTTTCTATGTCTGGTTGCAGACCTGGTGGTGATCGTAGTGTCTGTGGTGGTGCTGAGCCTCGGTTCCCATGGAAATGTGTTTGCTGCGTTGGCGCTGCGTTACAGTTCAAACTTCTTTAATGTTATATCCCTCCATCCCTCCTTTTTGTATCTGATTGCAGACCTGGTGGTGATCGTAGCGTCTGTGGTGGTGCTGAGCCTGGGTTCCCATGGAAACGTGTTTGCTGCGTCGGCGCTGCGAGGTCTGAGATTCCTGCAGATTCTGCGCATGGTCCGCATGGACAGGAGAGGGGGCACCTGGAAACTGCTGGGCTCCGTGGTCTGGGCACACAGACAGGTGAGTTGGTCTATGGGGGGACCCTGAAACTGCTCCAATCTGATAAGCATAAGGATAAGCACGTCAGCTGAATATACAGAGCTTGTACGAGACTCGGATTTTTCACGGTTTTTGTTGGATGCTTATTTCTTTGCATATGACATGTACATATTAAATATGTACACAGAACATACTGCTCCTGTATTAAACCCCTATTGTGCAAAACACATTGGCAGAATGTCTATAGACATTCAAATGTTGTATCAGAAAAGAATCATCTTTAACAGGCAAAGTTCTGGTGCAACGTTGACCAAACATCCAATAAAACAGTCTAAACTTTGCTTGCTGCACATAATGAGGAGGACCAATGATGATGATGTACGTTGTGTACAATATAATTGTCAGAAACTGTTCACTGACAGATATACATGTAATGCTGGAAGTTATAACTGTATTACTTAATGTGATATTTCCTCCTTGTTTTTTCTCCAGGAGCTTCTGACCACGGCGTATATCGGCTTCCTGGCCCTCATTTTTGCCTCCTTTTCTCTCTACCTCATTGAGAAAGATGAAAACCCGGAGGACTTCGGCAATTTTGCAAAAGCACTTTACTGGGGAGTGGTGAGTTTCTTACAATACCGGTATTTCCTTTCAGCTTCTCAGCAATTTAGCAAAAAAAAAAACATCTTCAGAATCTGGTCAACGTCAATAGTGCTTAACGGAAGATTGGTGAGTATGCATATTTGAGATCTGTACTGTATCAGACTTTCAGTGATGTAGACACCAGATTCATTGTTTGCACAAATGTCATTGCAACATTGCCAACATTTGTAGAATTCTTTCATTTGACATGGACTGTGACATTATGAAAGCGCAGTAGACAAGCATAATCGATGACACAAAATGCCAAAATTAACGCTTTTTACAGGGAAACTCCAGAGCTGCAATGTGAGATTGAACTTGACATAATTTTTTTAAAGCACCTGCATGCCTTTTTTGATTGTCATAAAAATGGCTGAATTTTTTAAGTGGCTTTTACATGTAACATACACAATCATGATTGTTTCTAACAGACATATAATTGCCTTGATAAAGATGACAGACTGTCGGCAAGTGGTTGTGAATAAAGGACTTTGTATAGCTTGGTATAACAATGCTTACCATCTATACCATCTTACCTGCAGCAGCATGCATATGGCCTGACTAACCCGGCGTGTTTTGTCCGTCCGCGCTCCACACACAGATCACGCTGCTAACCGTAGGCTATGGTGACGCCACTCCTGACACCTGGCTGGGCAAGCTGGTGGCGGTCGGGTTCTCCCTGCTCGGTATTTCCTTCTTCATGCTCCCCGCTGTAAGTAAGAACACAGCAGGGGAGGTGTGAGGGAGGGGGAGGGGGGCACACGGACGACCTTGGGTACGATCTGAGTGAGTCTGACCTATGACTCTCTCTCTGTCCCTCTCTTAGTCAGTCTCCAAAGACTACAACTTAACTGTGCAAAAACAGAATGGAACAGCTCATTTACAAATTGAATTCGAGCTCAAATTCAAAAAACAAAATATTCCAAAAGTTTATTATTCAAAGGACAAGTTGTTGTATCATTTATGATCACCAATATCGGCAGAATCCTCAAGCTGACCGAAATCTATCACACTACAGTTGTCCTTCAGTAAAACATCTGGAGCCGCATTAATGTTGTTCCCGTTTAGAACTTGAAAAGTGTTCCATGAAGTCTTTATCTTACCCAAGGTCACCGTAGGTTACTACGGTAACTGCCCTCCCCCTGTCCCGCACTCCGACCCCGTCCGACGGAACGTCGACCTTTAACCTTCCCCTCCAATCTCTCCCGCAGATTACCTTGACTACCGTTGGTTACGGCGACGCGACTCCCAACAGTTGGCAGGGCAAGCTGCTGACCGTAGTGTTTGGGCTGTGTGGGATTTCCTTTTTTGCCCTTCCGGCCGTAAGTTAGCAAGAATCATGTGTAAGGCCGGCCAGGATTGGTCGGTCAGCATGTAAAAGTGGCCAGGATTGGTCGGTCAGCATGGGTGTAAGCTAGGCTGGCAAGAATTGGTCGGTCAGCATGTAAAAGTGGCCAGGATTGGTCGGTCAGCATGGGTGTAAGCTAGGCTGGCAAGAATTGGTCGGTCAGCATGTAAAAGTGGCCAGGATTGGTTGGTTAGCATGGGGTGGCAGATGTAAAAGCAGCCAGGATTGGTGGGTCAGCATGGGTGTAAGCAAGGTTGGCCAGGATTGGTTGGTTAGCAGTAACTGGTTTTGCAGGTGCCATAAAGTTGCAAGGCATGACAGGAAGAGAACTGCCCTCGGTTTTGTGAGAATGACTTCCATATGTTTAGGAATGGATGAAAAACTGCTGTGTATGCGTGCATGATACAAAAATGCATTTTGTCACACTGCAAAGTTCTGGATGCATGATCTGGTCTGTAAGGATGCATGAATGTATGGGGTGGGATCACCCTTCAGCCTTTGGCCGTCATTTGACTATGGGGCGATCTGACCCTATACAGTCTGGAACCTTGGGTTAGCTGTTTTTTTTTATGTGCTCACATATTTTATGCTTGATCACTTGGGGTACGTAACAAGTATATCTGCATGGCCGTTCTGCCTACTAATTTTGGTGCTTTACAGGGAAGACTATGCACCACTGCTGCTCTTTGTTGACTGTATGAAACGTTCTGTTGCAGGGTATTCTGGGATCTGGATTTGCCCTGAAGGTACAAGAACAGGCCAGACAGAAACACTTTGCACGGAGAAGGCATCCGGCAGCAGCTCTTATACAGGTAGGAACCGTTTACAGGTTTTACCCTGCTGTAGTCAGTCTCAATATTAATAGTGAATTTATTTGCTGCACTTACTCATTGACAAAACGAATTGGGTAGATTAAAATCAAAATCTCTTCAGAGTTGTTACAGTTTTTCCATCTATCAATGCAGTGGTTTGATTAAAGGTTTGAAGTTTAATGTTTCAATTACAAACTAGCCTGGCATGTTGACTGGATGGCTCCTATCAAAATTGCCTTTACGGGTTATCATAGGATGCCTTGGTCTTTATTTGGTTTTTACTTATATTTTTTTCGCCCTGTCACTTTCATATTGTTTTCTGAAATAAATCCGAGAACCAACTTATCACATTGGTGTGGCCTTATAATTACCCTTTTCATGTGTGTGTGTGCTTTCTAAGACATTATAGAAACTACATGTACAAACTGTAACCTATGTATTGCAGTGTTTGTGGAGGTGTTACGCCGGGGATAAGAACTCCCGTTCCATCGCGACGTGGCTGCCACACCTGCGAGCCGTGCCGGACAGGAAGGAGGCTGCAGCCAAGAAAAAATCCTTCAAATCACAGCTGTCACGGTTTAGCACAAGCAGTCCTCTGGGTGAGATGCTAGATTGTTATTAAATTGTTTTGAGTGTCATTCAGTAGTGCTATCTACAGTTCTGCTGTTGTATCATTAGGTCATCAGTAATAGGTCATGGGTTCAAGCCTCTAGCCTGGTTACCATACCCATTTTAGCTGCCAAGTAGTCTCTTTCATCCGCTACGCAATACAGAATTCAGATCCTGGAAGTGATGTTACAATTTTCTCAACTTTTGGCCTATTTTGCATTGAAATGTGTGTTTTCTCTGTTAGGTACAATGTATGACATAAATAGAGTACTACACACTGTTTTCCGCATCACCCAGCCCTCCTATGGGTCAGATCTCCCTCTGACCATTGTGCAATCCTACTCGTGGCCGAATTTGTTGGAAATTACAGTTTAAAGTTCCTTCCAAATCAAACTTGCTTTTACCCAACTTTTGTCCCTGCAGCTCGTCCCACAGTGAGCAGACTGCAGGGTCTGGAGGGATCAGACAGCGTGGACCAACAGTTCACTACTCAGGTCAGCGCAGAGAGCTCGGGGACAGGCAGGCAGATGTCCGTCGGTAAGTACAAGTATTTCAGTACCAAGGCTAGTACTGAAGGTCACCAGTTACTGACAGACAGATAGCTATACTATAGGTCAGTTGGTAAGTACAGCAGCCCTGAATTTTCAGTAGCAGGATACAGAGACTTAAGGAGACACAGCCCAGTTTATTTCAGCTTTCCATATTTAAGGCTGCACACAGGTACACAGATGTCGGTTGGTAAGTATGTTGTTCAGCAACCGTTAGAAGTAACAGGTGGTAGGGACTTAAGTTGCTTTGTACATGTAATTCAGTACCAAGGATAGTACCAGGAGCACAATGTAGTTCCAGTACAGTTCTTACTGTGGATGCTCATGATTTTCCAAGCCTTACATGTTGTTATGGAACATGAGGGTGGTGATGTGTGGAGTCTTCAATTTTAACAGGTTAGGTGTTGGAATGATATGAAACACATACAGGTGGTAGGGGATATCTCTTCTTCCCAGTACTTAATACGATTTCCATGTGTGTAGGTGGGAGTCTTGGTATTTTACCTCTAACTTCATCTTACCACCTTCCTTAGCCGACACAAGCAAGCCCTTATCAGGGAAAAAGCCGGCAGGGGTTCGATGGAAGGAGACTGTCAATGCTGTCATGAGTAAGTCTTGGATCAGCAACAGACTAACTGAAAAAAACCTCCTCATCACTAACTTCTCTGCACTTTCTAACTCCACAGTCTAACAGAGAAAAATGATACATTACTAACTCCACTGTATTTTCGAACTCCACAGTCTAACAGAGGATAATGGCAATGTCATTAACTCCCTTTCTAACTACTTTCTAACCACAACAGAACCAACTGTTGAGTCACAGTCTAACCAAGACCTACAGCAAAGAAATTTAACAACCCTAACATATCAACATAACACCTAACTCAGTTTCATGATTTACAATGATTTCTTTTTCATTTCGTAGCTTTAAATATTCTATAGGTTTGTTGTCTAGATAAGTCAGTACCCAAACTACTAGAGACACATTGTGTTGTGCTACCTGCATCCTGACTTACAATTGTCAAACAAAAGCTCATAATATCTCACTTATTTTGTTTCTTACTTTGACAGGTATGCAGAATATTAATAATAAACATGTATATCATGTTATTTACAACATTAGCAGTGTACAATGTATTAACAGCATCATTCTAATTACATGAATGTATGTCCTTAATGTGATAGGCATTACCCTAACCAGTGCCTTGTCCCCCTCCCCCTTTAGTCTCACACGAGTCGGCAGAATCGGATAAGAATGGTCCGAGGGACAGATACCGCGTTCGGTATACTCCAGAGGACATGGCGGGGTGTAAGTGTTTAAAGCATGGGCACTGACTGCATGGGTCCACGTATCTAAACCACCTCCATTTACTGACTATACCTTTCTTATATCAGACTGAGTGTTTTATCATTTACATTGGAGCACAAGCATGTTGGTAGAATGTACTGTGCCTTTGTGAAACTGTGATTTTTCATGATTTTTGCTGGATGTTTGATCAACATTGCACCATAATTTTGCCTGTTGCAGATTATATATTTTCTGATACAACATTTGAAAACTAAAGATGTTGTTCTCGCAATTAAATACGCAAATATGACCTTAAATGAGATGTACTGCTGAAGTATATTACAGGTTTCACACAGGCACAGTACATTCTGCTCATAGTATACATCTAACACCAGGGTGATGCTCTTCTCATTCATATGCTTAGTGATTAGAGAACTTTATTTTTACTTGGGTGTCACTGCGTGTTTATCATCTCACTTTTTCAGTGATTAGCTGAACTGCACATTCACACTACTCTACATAGGACAGGAGAGCATGTTTACATTATATCTCTACCTAGAAGAGCATGCTCACACTACATGTACATACACAATGTACATGTACCCTAAACTTTTGTTGAACTTGTCTAAATTTAGGCAAGCTAGTATGCTCACATCAGTGTGTCCCTTGCAGTTATTCTTGGCAGGCTGGCTAATGGCTGATATATAATGCAGCAAATCTAATCTACATAATGGTAACCATTTTACATGGTGTTTTACATATGCATTGCACATGCCTTGCTTATTATTATACATACATGTATTTATGTTCTGGCCTACCCTGCCAAAGCAACTACAAGGAAACACTAGACAATAAACCAGTCTGAGAAACTTGAGTGCAGTCTTCTTCTTTAGCTATGAGAGATATAGTGTTTTGGGTTGATGGACTTAAGTCTCTACTTAATGCTGGCGTGGCTGTGAAGCACTTACTGGCTCATACTTGACCATCTCGTGGTCAGCTCATTCAGCTAACTCTATAGCATTTTTTCCCACAGGTCTGGTTACTTGTTGCCACTCATTCACTACCATTACTCAAATTACTGCTGTTCAATCTTATCCAATAGCTCTGTACATATAGCTACTGACTGCAGTGTTTCACTACCATGCTTTCTTGAACATATATGATCTGTTGAGTCATTGCTTTGCAACACATTGTACTTTTTTCTGTATCTGAGTGTATAGCTGGTATAACTGCCCTTTGCGTAACACACCAGCTTTGCAGGCACACAGTGCGGCGGCAGCTCTAACAGGAATAAGGAATTGTTACTCAAGCAACTGGATAAATTTTGAAACTGTCAGATGTTTTAATTAGCATTTTATCAGTGACTGGTAGTCCAGTAGCTAGTGGAAGCTACTTGAAAGATCTGATAGGTCTTCAAAATCTATCCAGTTGCTTGGGTAATAATTTCTTGTGCATTTCATTACCTGGATGTCTAACCTTCATCGATCTATGTGCACATTTTTGCATAAGTACTAACTTGATACTATCGTTTGTTACTGATCCAGTTTTATTACCTCCATGAAATGGAAGGTATTGTTTTTGGCGCGTCTGTGTGCATGTGTGTGTGTGTGTGTGTGTATGTGTGTTTGTGTTTCCGCATTTTTGAACCTTCATAAGTCCATAACGCCTTCATGGATTGTGGTGATATTTGGTATGCTGGTAGGTCTTAGGAGGGCGAAGGTCAAGGTCAAATATGGGCCTCCTGGTGGATGGCCTTGGTACTGCAGCAGCACTTCCGGTTTAAGGTTGAGTCAGGACATGGCTGAGAGGAATCTCCTTTATACTTGCGAGGCAGGGTAACAGATGTGGCTATGCCCAGCGAGGCAGCGCGCTCCCTCAGGGGAATAGGTGACCTATTTCAGGGCAAATGTGGCAGTGCCACTGTATGGCTGTGTGTTTGAAAACAAACAACCTGTGTTATTACCTCCATGAAAAAGGAGGTATTGTTTTTGTTGCATCTGTCTGTCTGTCTGTCTGTCTGTCTGTGTGTTTGTGTCTCCGCACATTTGCGGCCAGCATAACTTCATAACGCCTTTATGGACTGTGATGATATTTGGTATGCTGATAGGTCTTAGGAAGACGAAGGTCAAGGTCAAATATACGCCTCCTGGTGGATGACCTTGGTACTGCAGCAGAACTTCCGGTTTGTGTATCTTTTGTCCTGAATATGCTATGGTCTTGATTTTTTGGTGGCAGATAGATTGTCCTGTCAGGAATAAGTGGTGTGGGTTTGGTCCCCCTAGCAGCTTGTTCTGGAACTGCAGGGGACTTTCGGGCGAAATCTTTAAAAGCCAATAAGTCCAGATGGAAACAATGTATTTTCATCATTTTTGGTATGTAGGTAGCTGAGAGAGAGATGTACATAATTAACTGCAAATTATGCAAATGAGGGCTTAATTTGCATAATTAATGAGGAAATTCTATAATTACAGTGTTTTGCATTATAGTACTTTCATACATGTAATGTACTAGTATGTAATCTATGGCAGATGGAACATCACCAGATACCAATTATGCAAATGATGACCTAATTTGCATAATTAATGCGAATATTCTATGACTCCTTAGTGGTAAATGATGGGAATTTCATACTTGGTACATGTGTAAGTTAATCAAAAGTTAACATCACGATGCATTTATTATGTTAATGTGCAGGTAATTTGCATAATTAAAGAAGAAATTAACATTTACATGTCAAGCCCATATTTCATGGAGGTATGAGATCTCGGAACTCTTGTTACATATGCTCTCCCCTAACCTTTTTTATGTTAACCTTTGTCATCTCCGGCTTAGTACTAACACAAAATCTTTCTTGTCTTCTCTTCTGTTATTTTCAATTTCATTCCGCTTTTCTTTCTGTTTTAATGTGTTTTTGTGAATGTTCCTTGGTTCAGTTTCTGTTTTACTGGGTTGTTCAGATGCGCTGTCAGAAGAAGAGTATCACCAGCCGTGGGGTCTGGCCAGGCTCTCACCCGCACACAAAAATGCCATCCGTGCAATAAGGTGAGCTACCTTTGTACACAAAATGTAAAAGATACAATCAACTAAGAAGTCTAACTTGTCCTCAGTCCATCCGTCTGAATAAAGCAAGATTAAACTGAAATTTCCAACACAAGAAATTGAACTTCCTCAAATTTTTGACTGTACAGCCCCAATCTTTGTCAAGGAATAAGCAATCCACCACTTTTGTGAAACTGTGTTAATATGTAGATAGAACGCATAACTTTATTATGTTGCAGAAAGTCTGTGGCACCACCTGTCTTTACTAAGGGTTAATTGTAATGTCCCAATGTAGACAGCTGTACCTCATGCAAAAAAGTTCCATTTCCAACAGTCTTACTTTGTCCAATGAAACCAAATGTCCAGGCAATTCTATATGCTTTGTGAAACTTCCAAAGTTGTTGAGTCTTTAGTAAATTTTCAGTCCTTCCTTCTTTTTCTTTCAGGAAAATCAAGTATTTTGTGGCAAGGCGGAAGTTCCGTGAAGCGTTGAGGCCATACGACGTGAAGGACGTGATAGAACAGTACTCCGCCGGACATGTTGACCTGCTGGCCAGGGTCAAACACCTGCAGAGCAGGTAAGATTCTTTTCTTATTCGTTTTGGCTGAAGATACTGGCCAAGGCTGCCCAGCCACAACATGTACATTTTGTACATGTAGCATGGGACTATTATAAAGGGTGAATGGCTTATACAAGATGGGAGTTCACCAGGCATTTGTCTGGGTAGATTTCATTGGCTCAAAGGAACAAAAGGTTCACAAATTTGAAGTGAATCACCAACTCCAGACTGTAGAATTTGGACCATCAAACACTAAAGTATGCCCCTACTCTTTTTCAAAAGGTGTGGTGGGTTCTTTAATGTGTGTGGGGTGTGGCTGTCCCAAGCACGGGACCTGTGAGTAAAGTACGACCTTTTAAACTGAGATACACTAAGTCTTATATTTATGGGTTCACCACACCACGAAGTGGTGTGGTGAAACCATATTGCTTTTTCTGATGTTTCTTCTCCTTCTTCTCCTCCTTCTCCTGCCATTTTTTAAATGGATTCAGCTTCTTCATTTTAGGGCCTAAGGTCCTGAAATTTGGTATGGAGGTACAGTGGGCAAATACCCCTATGCGTTTTTTAAATTATTGTGATACAGGCTTTTAGAATGGTTTTATTTGAGTTTTTTGGCTGTGTTATAGCAAATGTATTACTGTATTAGTGTGCCTTGTTTACCACGTTTGGGCATGAGTCATCACAATGGAATGCAGGGCATCAACCAATAGGCATGCAGCTTTCCTCTATTCTTCTTGCTGATTGGCTGTTGGGATTTAACTTGATTAACACCTGCACAGATCATTTCCATACTGACAGTATGTCTGTATTCAAGTGTTTTGGTAGGTATTTCAAGCTTTCCTGCTCCAGCATTGGAATGCGGGGCATGGTACGTTTTTTTTTTGAAAATCAACAGTTTGCATTATGCAATTAAAAATCCTAACCAATAAAGTAGGGAATAGCTATCCAACTGTTGTTTTAGTTGTATTTTACTTCATATTATAGTTATATCAATGTAAATCATTGTTTTCCCTTGTGTTTCTCATTCTTTCCCTGCCATGTCGTAAAATGTGGTGAACCCATCGCTGTATTTGCTCCAAAGCAAATATTGGCCTTTCTAGTTGACTCAAAATCTCCTGTACTGTTGCCAAGGGACAGTTTTACTCCAATGTTTCGCCATGTTTTGGACTTTCATTCTCCATTTTGCCAATTTACAAACCAGCTATTAACTGTCTTGCTCTCTGGCCAATATCAACCGTTGTGTTTCCTCAGGTTGGATGAGATTTTAGGGTCTTCCTCCCGCTCCCCGGGCCACACTAAGGACAAGTACTCCAACGACCCCAAAATGCCCCTGCAGAGCAGAGTCATCCGGCTGGAAAAACAGGTATGTGTACAAATGTATGACCTTAAAGTTTATACATCATATCCTAGGAGTAACAATGAGTCTGTCATATGGTGCATGCACATCTGATCTGGTTTTTGGCGTTTGCCATTTACCGACATGCAATATATTTTTAGACTGGTACCATGGCCACCCTACATTCTGTATGTTGTGAGTTTGATCCTCAGTCGAGTCATACCTGGTCCAAAGACTTAAAAAATCGTGAATACATTTGTACTGCTTTCTCTTCCTACATTGTAGCACTCAGAAATTGGGAAAGAGTATGGGAGTTAATGCACACCACTATCAATGGACTAGCAACAGATACACTAGGATGTAGTAGAAAATGTAGTGATTGCCCAACTGTGTGACCCAAGGGCTGCTGCAGAAATGGAGATACATTGTACATGTAGGTGCCACCCTATGCACTATACACTGTATATGTACATGTATGTGTTGGAAGGAACATGATGTTTTTATCTGCCTGTCTGCAGGTCCACAATATAGACCAGAAGTTGGATGTACTCATCAACCTCATGCACCACCAGAGGCCGCCTGACCCCAGTTCCCATGGCGATGACCCTGGCGACGACGAGGACGGCGGTAACCATGGCAACAAGACAAACTCTGACCCCGGTCGCCATGGCGACCACGGAACAAACACTGCTTGTAGCCACGGTAGTAACCAAATGAACCTAGCGGCGCCCGACGGCACAGAGAGAAAAGACTCTGCGGATTCGCAACGGTTGTCACAAAGTGGGCGCACGCGTGCGTTACCTCGGCAATCTGCGACCGTAATTTCGGAAAGTGATCCTTCCGAAGGGGACACAGCGGAATCGTCAGCTCCATGCACAAAGGACGGTAAAGATTTGCGGGACAGTGCGGAGTTGGACACATTTCCCGGTGAGGAAACCGCGAGAAACGGCCACCAAACGGGAAATGGTAGAGCGAAACTTTCCTCAGACAGTGACTCTAGCCTCAGGATGCTTGGAAGGGAAACAGACATCGTGTAGCGAGAAAATAAACTTGCCAATAGAATTATAAAGGTCAAGTTGTAATATAGCAAGGGAAGGAGGGTTTATTTAGCCTGGGGTCCAGCCTTGTTAGCTTTAGTCTGCTCCCCAAGATCAGCTACAAGGCTGGACTCCAGGCCAGGGGTTATTGTCATGTTGTTGTAAAATTGAGAATTATGTTGTATAATGCAAGAATTCATATTTACCACTTTGGTGGAGAAGAATAATGATATCACTGCATTCTAGCAGTGCTATGGTGCAAACTAGTAGCAGTCCACATCTTTCTCTCAGCATTAGTGGATTACTAGCCTCTGTAGCAGGCTTATAGAACTGGGGGTTTGGTGGTCTTCGGCTGTTTTCTGATTAGCCCAGTTCTAGCCTCCGTAGCAGGCTTATACAACTGGGGGTTTGGTGGTCTTCGGCTGTTTTCTGATTAGCCCAGTTCTAGCCTCCGTAGCAGGCTTATACAACTGGGGGTTTGGTGGTCTTCGGCTGTTTTCTGATTAGCCCAGTTCCCAAAAAAGACGGGGGTAATTCAACCAGGCCGGCAATGTTGTCTATGTGCAATCAGAAAATGGCACATAAAAGCTCCTGAAGACCCCCAAATCCCCCAGTTTTTGGCATGCTATGGAGGCTAGTGGACCGCTCTGTGCCAGGATGGGTTTCTATCTAAGGTTGAGCCGTACAATTATGTATTAGATGGAGAATCTTCCATGTCAGGTGCTTGAAAAGACTGTCAAATGTACAGGAATTCTATTGGGACCCTTGCAAGGATACTGGACTGTTGGTGACTTCTGACATACAAGAGGACATCCTGACTGAACAGAGAAGACCTATATCAACCAGGGACCTGCCTGGCATTTGTCTCACTGGCCTAAGCCTCTACCAGGCTTTGGAAGCAGCTAGAAAGAGTAGAAATTGGCCAACTAGACATATAACATGCCATGGGAGTTGGTCTAGCCTCTACCAGGCTTCAGAAGCAGGTTGAAAGATTACAAATTGGCCACATAGACAGATAACATGCCAGGAGAGTTGGTTCACTAAAGGAGTACAGATTCACCAACTCCCCTAGCATGTTAACTGTCTGTAAAGCCAATTTCTACTCTTTCTAGTCACCTCTGTAGCCTGGTAGAGGCTATGCCTTGTCTGTGTTCCAGCTTCAATTTAGCTCCAAATATGAAGTATTCGGTACATGTCTGTTAGAGTCGAAGTCTTCTGTGGCAGCTCTCTAGATCTGTGTCAGAGATGTTAATAATTATTTCATTTCTACTCGTAGTTCAGTTAGGATCTATTTTAACAACCCAGAAAATGCAGTAATTTTTTTACCACTTAGTTAGTAACATAAGGAAATCCAGACAGTAAAAAGATAGCACAATTATGGTGGGATCCAAGAAATATCTTGGAGGCAAAGTGGGCCATGGGTAGCTTGCATTATTTTTTAGTTAAGGCATGAAAGAGTGCAATGTCAATGTAAGGTAAGCATTTCACCTACAAGATTGTAGATAAGGAAGTACATATACACAGATGCAATTGGTTTAGTTTTTAACCCAGAAAAACTAGTATTGTTGCTTACTGGGTACAATACAATGTAGGTGCTTGGACCAAAGATAACCAAAAAGACCAGAAAGGAGTCAAATCTCAATAGCAGGGTGCAAGGGACATTTTGGTGTCAGAAGTCAGAACATAGGGTACAATTGGCAATCTGTGTAGTATACAGTTGGGTACCATAAAAAGCAGTTGGGTAAATCATGTATTTACATATGGTGACGGGATTATTTCTGTTTTTATTTTAATTCTGAATTATGGCTCAATGCAGAAATTTACAAACTATTGTCTGCCCAAAACATATGTCTAAGAAAAGTGTTAGTGGTACATGTACACAGATGATGGTATAGTGAATTCCAGATGGGTAATTTTTTTATCGAAGAGCTGGGTTTCATGCTGCAAATAACTGTACAGTTGTTTTGTTGACATACATAATAATGGGAAAAGCTGGGTTTTTCCTGCAGACTACTATTTACATGATATGGCCAACCCGGGTGATTAACAATTGAATAATATACAATGTAACAATCAACCTGGGTGGTGTTTCAGGCTTCAGTGTGAAAAACCTGGGTGTGTTAATTCCACAGTGCAGTTATACATGAGAATAACGTGGGTGTTTTATTTGGATGTTTCACACATAACAAAACATGGGACCCAGCATACAATGTTTCCCACTAAAGATGTTTATTAACAAACACAACATGTGTGTTTTAAACACTGTACAGTTCAACAATGTAGCACTCTGAACCCAGGCTTGTACATGCTTAGCTGGGTGTGTACATATTATTAACAATTGTGTGATGGGTTTGCAGTATTACCAATAATGTGCAATGAAGATTATGCACTACAATTTACATGCAAGTCTTTCAGGACTTAGCTTAAAATGTCATTTCATCGCACACAAAGATTTGAGAGTGGCAATGTTACATGTACTTTCATTAAAGTACGTGTTAAAAGAGTTGTATAAAAGAATTTTCTACGTATTTTATGTGCAAGTTAATTGCAATGCGTATGTATAAAAAAACAAGATGTAAATGTTATACAATGTAGTATATTGTTCCCTGGAATTCATTGTGCTCCTACTACATATAATGCTTTCAGGAATTGCTTGACAATGTGTTGGTGATTCATGTACATGTACATGTAGACCTTAAATATTTTAGTTTTGAGGAACCGAAGTCTTCTACATGTCTTCCACAAGAAGAGTTCATGGTTGTTTTGAAGAAACTTCATACCCCTGGTAGCCTCTACCAGGCTTCGGGAGGCAGCTGGAAAGAGTAGAAATAGAGAGATAACATGCCAGGGGAGTTTGTCTGTGGGGCTAACTAACTGGGACCTATAAAATGCACTGCGACACCTTTACTATCCTCTGCCAGGCTTCAGAAGTGGTTGGAAAAAGTAGAAATTAGCCAAATAGACAGATAACATGCCAGGGGAGTTGGTCCGCTATTCGAGAGCTACAAACTGTACTCTTTAGCGGACCAACTCCCCTGGCATGTTATCTGTCTATTTGGCCATTTCTTTGACTCTTTCCAGCTGCCTCCAAAGCCTGGTAGAGGCTACTACACTACATCTGTGCAAGCAATATGTAAACAGAAAACAGCTGGGCTGGCATACCCTGCCTATACCAAACAATTATAGGTGTT